CACACTCACATACACACACACACTCACACTCACATACACACTCACACACACGCTCACATACACACTCACACACTCACACTCACATACACACACACTCACACACACACGCTCACATACACACACACGTACTCCCCAGCATACTGTACACTCCGTCCTTGGCCTTCCTTTGACTTCAGCGTTTTCGGTGGGTGCTGTAAGTGGCACCCGCCTCTTCCTCTGTGCTCTGGGGACTCGGGGGCATACAGCCCAGCTTCTCATATTCTTGTCTTTGCATCCCTTCCCTGCCTGCCCCCAACTGGCTTCTAGTTTGGTGCCCCATTTTGAAGAAATGTGTGAAAGGTTACCGGCCAAGCACAAAATGGAACCGAGGGGCACCTTACCGAGTCTAGACTTCGGCTCCCTGCTCCTCAAGATTTGAGCGAGGGACTAGCCAGTGGGAGGACTGGAGATGACTTTTTGGTCCCTAACCATCACTGGCACCTGTCAACACCTCCACAAACCTCCTTTCCCCACGTATTCCTTCTCTTACCCCTGTTGACTGCCCTATGTGGGGGGGAAAGACACATCCCACTGTGAGACCATGGATTGCCAGATTTAGCAAATAAAATACAGGGTTTCCAGTTAAATTTGTATTTTACATAATCAAGGAATGTGAATTTTTTTTTTTTTTTAGTATAAGTGCATCCCATGCAATATTTGGGATATACTTATACTACTTATTCGTTGTTTATCTGAAATTCAACTTTAACTAGGCCTCCTGTATTGTATCTGGCAACTCTGGTCAGACCACACTCTGGGGTGAAGAGCCAGCTATGGCCAACCCAGCTGTTTTGTAGAGAACTGGCCTCCTCTGGGGCAAACTCCAGAATCCAGCAGAGAGTGGCGGTGTCCTGAGGGGCTAGGGCAGAGCTATTACTTGCAATACTACCTGACAGCCATACGGGGGCAGCAGAGAAAGCCCGGCTCATGTTCTTGGCAGGAAGGAAGCCTGACCTCCAAGCCCCAGCTACTCTTGGGCCCCATAAAGGAAGAGCAAAGAAAAGGAGTGGTTTCTCCCCACCCCTCAAGACAGCCCATCACAGAATTTAGATCTGCAGCCAAATCCCACACACCTTCCCCAGGTGCCACAGACACCTCCCTGGGAGGACAGGGAGAGGGGAGGTACTAATAAAATATCTTCTAGTTTGAATGGCTGAATGGTACTCTCTCCCTTCCAGGGGGAGCTTTGACCTTATTTTGCAGAAGACGCGAAATCAGAAATGATGACTGGAATGTCTTATTTACAAACAGCGGGTTTAAAGCAATGGTTTTTGGGTGGAACAATTCCCCTCCCCGCCAAGGGACGTTTGCAGTACCTGCTTGTCACAATGGGGAGGGTGCTACTGGCATCAGGTGGGCAGAGGGCAAGGATGCTGCTAAACATCCTTCAGTGTGCAGGACAGCTGCCCCCTCCGCCTGCAACGAAGGGTTATTTGGTTCAAAATGTCAGCAATGCTGAGGTTGAGAAACTCTAACTTAGAGGCCTAATTACTCAAAATCCATGAAAAAGGGAGTCTTCGCATTAAAAGAAATTAGAAAGTCTCCACACATGTTTGTTGACAGATCATTACATACTCAACTAAGGGAGAAACAGAAAGGTGAAGCCCTTTAAGCCCCCTCTTAAACCCCAGAAAGAAAGCATGGAGCAAATCGGAAATTATAATAGTAGGAAAGGTGTCCCCAGGCTTATTTTACTGGACAATTGCTTATAAAATTGAACGGTCCAGTTTAACATTTAAAATCACAGAGCAAACCCATTGCCGTCAAGTGGATTGCGACTCACAGCAGCCCATGTGTTACAGGGCAGAACTGCCTCCACAGGGTTTTCTTGGCTGTGATCTTAACGAAAGCAGATCACCAGGTTTTCCTTCCATGGTGCCACTGAGTGGGTTTGAACCGCCAACCTTTTGATTAGTACCAAAAAAAAAAACAAACCAACCTGTTGCCGTCGAGTCGATTCCGACTCATAGCAATCCTACAGGACAGAGTAGAACTGCCCCATAGGGTTTCTCCAAGGAGCACCTGGTGGATTCGAACTGCCGACCTTTTGGTTAGCAGCCAGTCTCTTAACCACTAAGCCACCTAGACAAGCACACACAGGTTGCGCCACCCGGGGACCCTGGCTGACTATTCCAAACCAAAAAAAACCAAACCAGTTGCCCCTGAGTTGATTCTGAATCACGATGACCCCATGTGTGCAGAGTAGAACTGCTCCATAGGGTTTTCAAAGCTGTGACATTTGGGAAGCAGATTGCCAGGCCTGTCTTCCAAGGTGCCTCTGGGTAGGTTCAAAACCATCAACCTTTAGATTAGTAGTTGAGCGCTTAACTATTTGTGCCACTCAGGGACATACCTGGTTCAATCATTAGTCTGGTGGAAATCCCAGCTGAGTTCCTAGTACAAAAACACGCAGGCGTCTTTCGTTTGAATGAAGACATCAACAGTCCCCCTCGGGGATCCCTCTGGGCCACTAGTGCCCCACCCCTCCTTGGCGCCTGCGCACTTGCAAGTCCGTGCCTGTCTGGACGCCAGCAGACAGTGCCCAAGGGAAGCCTGGCGGGGCTGCTGTGGAGCAAGGCAAGGTCAAGTATCTGGAGGAGAGGTCAGGTCAGAATTTCAGTCTGAAGTCCCCAGAAATCTAGTCTCATCTCTTCCTCTGGTGGATGGAGAAAGTGACCGGAGCTCTGAACTGACGTGTCTGAGCCGCAGAGGCTGAGCTAGGACTGGCCCGCCTGCTGCCTTTCTGTCCCTACTCTCCGTGCTGACCGGTGTCTGATGAGGGTTAGTTGACAGGGACTGGTGTTGACACACGTGGCCCCCTGGCTCCTCCCCAAGCCCCCCTTCCCCACCGGCTCAGAGCAGCCAGCTTCTTGGGAGGGGTCTCCAGCATGGAAGCTCTGAGCCCGGGCTCCAGGGGACCCAGTGGTGTTACGAGGGAGACTGTGGCCCCTCTAGCTCCCGCTGTGACCGTGATGTCTGACACACCCACCCTGTTTGTGGAGTGGGTTCTGCAGTTTGCAGAGCAGCATATGGTCACCGGGGCCCTTACCACCCTGTGGCGGGGATGAATAGTTCTCCCCATTTCTCAGAGAAGGAGACTGAGGCTGCACCACCAAATATCTCCTAAACACACAGAGAGTTAAAGTAGATGCTTGGCCAGAGCCCAGCCCTGGCTCACCATGAATTATGTGGTTCTTCTAGTTTATGGTTCTTCTCGATTTTTCTCGGGGTTGGGGCGGGGGTGGGGCAGAGCAGTGACCACAGATAGAGCAAAGAGCAGTCAGGTGTGGGGAGAGGCCCAGGCCGGGCACTCCCAGTGCCAGCTCCCCCCCAGCCGGGTCGTGGAGGCGCCATGAGGAAGGTGAAGCCCTGGGAAGCTTGGTGTTGGCAGCTCCTGTGCGTCAGTGGGCATGCGTGTGCATTGGTGTGCATGTGTGGTGTGGGTGTGGGAGGGTGTGTGAGGAACTTGTGTGTGTGGGACTGTGTATGGGGTGTGTAGCATATTTGTTGTTGTGTGCATGTGTGTGGTATGTGTGCATGTGTGCCCATGCATATGTGTGATGTGTGTGGTGTGTACGGTGTGAGTTTAGTGTATGTGGTGTGGTGTATGTGTGTGTGCTGTGTGTGTGTGAGAGAGTGAGTGTAGTGCATGCAGTATGCGTGTGTGTGTGGTGTGGTGGGTGTGTGTAGTGTGTGCAGTGGATGTGTGGTGTGGATGTGTGTGTGTGTATGTGCAGTGAGTATGGTGTGGTGTGTGTGGTGTGTGTGATGTGGTGTGTGTGTCTGTGTGTGGCGTGTGAGTGTGAGAGTGTGTATGTGCAGTGTGTATGGTGTGTCTGTGTGTGGTGTGGGTGTGAGTGTGAGAGTGTGCATGTGTGCATGTGCGGTGTGTGTGATGTGGTGTGTGGTGTGTGTAATGCGTGTTTGTGTGCTGTACGTATGGGAGCGTGCCTGTGCATATGTGTGTACGTGTATGTGTGTTGACTGAGGCAGGGCGGGCAGAATACACTGAGGGTCTGTGCTCTCTCTTATAGATATTTACACACAACGTCAGAGCTGCCCACCACAAAGGAAGCCCCGTGTTCCCTGCCTTCCTGCCCAGCGGCTCAGGGCCAAGGAGCCAGCCTGGAGGGACATGGAGTCAGGGCCCCCTGGGAAGCCCCAGCATGCCCCCAGTAGCTCCCTCCTCTCTGCGCCTGGCATTCCGTCTTCCTCATGACAGTCACTGGGCTCGCTTAGCCCAAGTGTGAGCGCCCTGAGAGCAGGGAGATGCCATCTTCATTTCCGCGAACCCTAGTGGAGGCCTTGCGACTGATACATGTCTAATAAAGTGAATGTCAGGAAACAAGAAAAATTCAAGGCCGAGGGAGAGGTGACCCAGAAGAAATGGAGCCAGGGAAGAGCTCGGCAAGGACGCCAAAACGTGGGGCACAGCACAGGGGCCGCTGACCAAGATCCAGAGAGAGGCGCGTGGAGCCCCCATCCTCCTCCCGCAGACTCCCATCCTCTGACTAGCTCTGGGCCTGCCCTGCGCATATGTGGGTAACGGGGTGACAGCCCCCAGCACATGGTCCTTTCTCCCCTCCCCTCATCCGTCCATGCTGTCCCCACATATGTGCTCACTGCTGATCTGTCTGCTGACCCTCCCAGGCCAGGTCAGGGTCCTCTGGGCCATGCCCACCCAAGGGGAAGCAAGGCCTGGCACCCGTGTCCAGGGAGGAGAGGGTCAACAGGGCGTGGAGTGGGCCAGATGGCCAGGGAAGGGGGTTCTCTGAAAAGCCAAGTGGAAGCAGCCCACCCCGCATGCCCCCCTGTCTCCACCTTCACACGACTCCCAGGGAGCCCCCACCCTCCCAGACCTCTGGGCCTTTCTGCGCCTGGTTCCTCCAGCCCCGGGGGTCCTGGGAGTGGGAGGGGGATGAGTGGAATGGGGTGGCCCGTTGTCTAACAATGATACCACTCTGTCACCCCAAGATGTCATCAGCCAAAGATGTGCTTAGCCCCTACCCTCCCAGGCCTGGGGCGGGGAGAGGTGGGCAGCTACCAGGAGAAACAGATGGGAAAGCCAGAACCCACAGAAGGAACACAGCCCAGCCCAAGATCCTTCAGACAAAGGAGGGAGAACTGGCCAAGCCGCCCCAGCCCCTGGCTAGGCCAGGCAGGCCTCGCCTTCTGGGGATGGAGAGAGCCCCCGGGCACACACGCTGTGACGGGGAACCTATTATCTGCCTGCTCCAGGGCGGGAGACGAAGCCCTGGTAGGGAAGACTCCCTGCTAGAGGCTGCCCTGGTGGGGAAGGCCACGGGAGACCTTGGAGACAGGTACGGGTAGCCCGGGTACCTCAGTTTCCCCTTCTCTCCAGCTCCTAAGCTGCCGTGGTGGGGTGGGGGGCAGCGATGGAGCTTGGAGAAGTTTTCAGGGCTGGAAGCTCTATGTGCCACTCCTTGGGGCTCAACGCTAAGGCCTCCCCAACTCCCCAAGCTGGCCTAGGAGAGTAGGACCACGGGTCTCAGCACATCTGGTATCTGGTCAGTTGCTAGTGTTTTCTGAGGGGAGCGGAAGTTCAAGCTGGGTGCAGGCTTTTGTCCCCCCAGAGCCCAGTGGGGAGAGGGGCCTTGGCCTAGTCTGAGGACGTAAGTGGACAGTCGTGACCACCACGGCATTTTGTCTTACTACTAGCACCTGTCTGCTTCATCCCTCCACCCATCCATCCACTCACCACACGGCCGTTCACACATTCACTCTGTTTCTGGGGAGACACCTCCAGGGCAGAAGGAGGACAGGTGTGCAAGCATCTCCTACCCGCCAGCACCTCTCGGTGGGGGACAATGCCAGCACCCCTACAGGGCGCAGCCAGGGCCGGCGGGGGCAGCTCACCGGCCGCTTCCCGATGGAATCGCATCTCAGGAATTGCGAGCACCTGAGTCCTGCCGGCGCCTCCTCTCGCTCGGCCCACGAGCACAGCCGGCCTCTCCTGCGAGCGCGCCCAGGAGCCGCGCGGAGGCGGCGGACCGTGCGTCGGGGCCGCTTACCTCTGCTGCTGCAGCAGGAGCTGCTCGTCGCGGCTCTGCACCCAAGCCTCGCGGCTCTGGACCCATCCGCCGAGCTTGCCCCACAGGCGGAGCAGCAGCCCCCTGTCCGGGGCGCTGAGCCCCATGGGGCAGGGGGCCGGCTCCCCGAGGCGCTGGGGCCGGGGCCGCACCCCGCCAGCGCCCCGCAGGCCCGGCCCGCCCTCGCCCTGCGGAGGCCCCGTCCTGCCGCGCGTCCCACGTATGACAGACTCTGGTGTCCTGGCAGGAACTGGGGCCGGCCCGAAAGCGGGAGCCGGGACACTCCTCCTTCCAAATTACCTGCGATTAAAGAGACAGGCACGCACCTGGCCACTGGCCTTGCGCAAACGCCGGCATGGCCTTCTCCCTGCCCCCAGGCCACTGGGGGATGGCGGGCCTCCCCCGACTTTGGGACACCCTGTGACCTTTCTTAGAAAGGCCAGGACAGGTCAGGCTGGCCGGAGGGGCTGAGGGTGGGGGGAGGAGGAGACCTAGGCCCCACACCACCTTTCCCGGGATCTGTTTACCTCTCCAGCCTCCAGTGGGGGGGTCCTCCTCGCCCTCCCGCATCTCCCGGCCCAGAAAGGTGCGCAAATAGGGGATCTTCTGAGCCCCCCTCCGCCCCCTTCAGCCTCCTCGCCCCCCTCCTAGCCCCTTACCCATTTTCAGCTCTGAGGAGCAAGGGTCGCAGACTTTTCTCCAAAGGGCCGGAAGATAACCAGTGTAAACGTTTTAGGTCTGCTGGCCACAGGCCCTGGTGCACACTCTTCTTCGCCTGTTGTTCACAACCCTTTAAACAGTTAAAAGACACGCGGTCGCAGGCCCAGATGCAAAGGGGCTGAGACGGATCTGCCCCGCGCCCCCTGTGGTTTGCAAATCCTGCTCTGGGCCCTCCAGGACCCTCCCCAGCACCGCGGTGGCTTCCCTGGTGAAATCCAGGATGCCCAGTCAAATCTGAAACTCAGGTAAACAGTGAAGCGTTGTTTTAGGGTAACTCTGTCCCAAACACTGCATGTGTGTGTTCTCTGGCAACCTTGGGGTGGGGGTGAGGGTGGGGGGCCCTCACTAAGTGCCCCATGCAGCTCACCCTGGGCCTGTGAGGGGCCTGGGTGTCCGAAGCTCACCATGGGGACAGAAGTCCCTGGTGCTGACGTGACAGTGAGTGGCAGAGGCAAGATTCCAGCCTTCCTCCTTCCTGCTGTCCACTTGCCTTCACGCCCACCGTTCCAGAGAGTGAAGTGGCTGCACAGGCTCACCCAGGTGATTTGGCACAGACCGCCCCTGGTCCCACTACTGGGACTCTGACACGAGAGGGCTGGGAGCCGTCCCCTCCGAGAGACGAGAAGAGATGAGGCCCTGACTCTCAGAGGCCAGCGACCGGCCGGCGGTGCACGCAGGCTACCCTGCTCCCGGCTCTCCTGTTCGTTGTCTGCCTGTCAGTCTCTGCTTCAGAGAGCTGGAGGCAGAGAGGCAGCTTGTGTGCATGTGGTGTGCAATGTGTTTGTGTGTGTTTGTGTGTGTATGGTGTGAGCGTATAGTATGAGTGTGCGGTGTGTGTAGTATGTGGTCTGTGTAGTGTAGCATGTGGGTGTGGCGTGTGTGTATGTGGTGTGTGGTGTGGTGTTTGCGGTGTGTACGTGTGTGTGGTAGGTGTGTGATGTGTATATGTGGTGTTCGTGGTCCATCTGTGTGGTGGGTGTGTGGTGAGTGTGGTGTGTATATGTAGTGTTTGTGGGGCGTGTGCGGTGTATATATGTGATGTGTATCTGCACCGAGTGGGGTGTGCACATGAGCTGTGTGTGGCATGTGTATGCGGTATGTATCTGGATGTGTGGTGTGCCTGTGTCGGGTGTCTCTGTGGAGTGTGTGTGGTCTGTGTGTGGTGCACGTGTGGTGTGTATCTTGGTGTGTATCTGTGGTGTGTGTGTGGTGTGCAGTGTGTGCGGTGTGTCTCTCTGGTGTGTGTGATATGTATCTGTGGGGTGTGTGGCGTGTATCTGTGGGGCGTGTGGGATGTATCTGTGGGGTGTGTGTGGTGTTTATGTGTATCTGTGGTGTGTGTGGTGTGTGTCTGTGGTTTGTGTGGTGTATGCGGTGTTTGTGCGTGTGATGTGTATCTGTGGAGTGCGTCTGGTGTATGGGGGTGTGTATCTGTGGTTTGTGTGGTGTCTGTGTGTGGTGTGTATCTGTGCAGTGTATCTGGTGTGTGTGTGGTGTGTACTTGTGGTTTGTGTTGTGTGTGTGAGTTGTGTATCTGTGGTGTTTGTGTTTATGGTGTGTATCTGTGGTGTGTGTGTGGTGTGTGGTGTGTATCTGTGGTATGTGTGCATGGTGTGTGTGTGGAGGGTGTGTGTGTGTGGTGTGTGTGTGGTGTGTGTGTGGTGTGTGTGTAGTGTGTGTGGTATGTGGTGTGTATCTATGGTGTGTGTGTGGTGTTTGTGTGTATGGAGTGTATCTGTGGTGTGTGTTTGGTGTGTGTGGTGTGTGTGGTGTGTGTGCAGTGCAGAAGGGGGCTGAGATGCCGAGCAGAGTGGCTGGGTGAAGGGTAGGAGGCCACCTCTCTGGAGGGCCGCTGGTGGAAAGCTCCTGGGTCCCTGCCGCTGGCCCAGAGCCAGGCCCCAGCCCCCTGAGCAAACACTGTCTAGATTAGCAGCTTCCTCACCTGCCCAGGGATCAGCGGGTGCAGAGGGCGGAGAGGAGGGCACTAGAACCCAAACCTTGAACCCAGGAACTTTGTGCTCATTAGCCGTGCTTGTTGGCTGACCCACCCAGCTTCTTGGCCCCTTAAGTCCAGGCAGAGACCCCACTCGGGCCAGTGGGGGAGGGGGAAGTGGGGAAGGTACCTGTGGGGGCGGGAGGACCAGTTGTGTTCCCACTCTCTCTTCCCGCCTTAGCTTCCTCCTGGTGCTGCCTGTGCCCTGGTCAGATGGGAGTTTCAGGATGGACTCAGAGTGGGACGGGGGAGGGGAGGGAGTTTGCTGGACACCGGCTTCTGCCAACAAGGTGCTGTCAGTTCTTGGACCAACATCATGTACTCGGACGTGGGTAAAAGGCCGGGCAGGGCAGGACAGGCCACGGGTGGTATCACCACCCTGGGACCGATGCTGCCCCTCAGCTGCCTTCATTCTCCAGTCTCTCATTGATTAAAGCCAGGGCCGCTGTGCCTTCCTGGTGGTCCCCAGGGGCGGGTTGCTGAGGGTGTCCCAGGAAGGAAGCCCCTTCCTGGTGGTCCCCAGGGGCGGGTTGCTCGGGAAGCCTGTGTCCCTTCTGCTGAGAGAAGGAGGTGGGCAGCCCCTCCACACAGGGAACCTGCCGTGCGCGTCCACACACTGGAGGCCCTGGGCGCTGGGTGTGGGAGTGGGGAGAGGAAGGACCCCAGTGCCTGGCCCTCTTCGAGAGACAGCTGCTTGCTCCGAGCCCGGGGCCCCATCTCCAAATTATGCAGACTTTTGTGACACTGGGCAGGTCACTGTCCACCTCAATGTCCTTATCTGGGGGTAGTGGACAGAGGACAGCCCTGACCTCAGGATGGCTTCCCATCCAGTCCTGGGGCGACGGCAGAAATCAGGGCCAACGGCCAGAGGGACCTGAGGCAGTGCCTGGACAGCGCCTCGAACAGGCTGGACATGCCCAGGCGAGGCCGCTCTGACCAGTTCTTCCTGCCTCAGGCTGAGCTGCCAGCTCTCGGTGGAAGTCAGGCCCTGAGGATCTGCCGGGGGGCATGTATGTGGGTCAGCATGACTGCTTCTGGTGGCCACACCGTAGGGTAGGCGTCAGAAAGGCTCCGCGGGTGTGCAGGTATCAGGCATGCGGGACTCACCTGGTCTGGGGCCAGGAGTGTTGATGCTGGTCTGTGCCTTTAGGGGCTTCTGCACCGAGCACCGTTGGTATTTGGACCAGATGGTTCTCTGGGATGGGGGCCACCCTGGGTGCTGCAGGAGGGTCAGCACCAGCCCTGCCCCCACTCATGATAGAAGGTGGCACCCACCCCAGTTGTGAGAACTAAAAATGTCCCCAGACATTGCAGCAGGTCGAGAACCACTGGTTTAGGGCAAAAATTGTTTATAAATACAGATTCAAGTATTTACTCATTCTAGCTTTGTCCCTCTTTTTTGCTTGTTCTAGATCTTTCTATTTTCCTCTGTCTCCCTGCCATTGTATCTCTGCTCCCTTGGCTTTAACTTCTGGGCTAGTGTGTGTGTGTGTGTGTGTGTGTGTGTGTGTGTGTGTGTGTGTGTGTGAGAGAGAGAGAGAGAGAGAAAGTGAGTGTATGAGTGTGAGTGAGTGTGTGGGTGTATGAGTGTGGGGGGTATGTATGTGATGTATGCGTGTGAGTGTGCGTATAGAGTGTGTGAGTGTGTGGTGTGTATATGTGTTGTGTGTGTAGTGTGCATGTGTGGTGTGTGATTGTGTGTGAGGTGTTTGTGAGAGAGAATGTGAGTGTGTGTGGTATATATATGTGTTGTGTGATTGTGTGTGTGTTGTGTGAGTGTATGTGGGGGGTGTGTGTGACAGTGTGCAGAGTGTGTATGTGGTGTGAGTGTGGTGTGTGTGAGAGTGTGTGTGGTGTGTATATGTGGTGTGCGAGTGTGTGGTGTGTGTGTGACAGTGTGTGGTTTGTATATGTGGGGTGCACGTGTGTGACATGTACATGTGTGGTGTGATTGTGTGTATGTTGTGTGTGGTATGTGTGTGAGAGTGTGTTGTGTGTATATGTGGTGTGTGAGTGTGTGTGTAGATGTGTGTGGTGTGTGATGTGCATGTGTTTTCGGTGTGTGTGGTGTGTAATCATGTGATGTGCATGCGCATTTGGTGTGTGTGTGGTGTGTGTGGTGTGTGATTGTGCGTGGTGTGCATGTGTGTAGTGTGTGTGTGTGTGCACGTGTGTGTGTGTGTGTGGTGTGTGGTCTGGGGCCTGGGTGTTCAGATCTCAGGGGTATGTGGACTCTCTGAGTCTCAGTTCTTTCCCCCTTTGTCCCCAGTCATCTTCCTGAATCCCCCCAAAATCTCTTGGAGGGTGTCTCCTTAGTGCTCCTGTCTATGAGCAGGGCTGGCCCGCGCTGAGGCACTGGACCGCCAGGATGGAGCCACAGGGCAGGGAGGGCAGGGAGGGCAGGGAGGGCAGGGAGGGCAGGGAGGT